GCAGGGCCAGTACAGCAGGTTCACCATTACCTGCCCGTGTCACTCTAACCTGCACACTCACACACTCACACTCACACACTCACACTCTCACAGAACAGAGGCCAATCATCAATCATCTGAACAACCAGCACTGGAAATATTAGCGTCTATAGTCGAAGTGGGCAGCTACAAGAAAATCATTGTTGTCATTACTTTTAGAAGCCAAGGAACCTGTTGCCAATATTTTTATTTAGAGCTTTATACTGACTATGTTTACAGATTTCTTCTGACCTTATATGGGGACACTTCCAGACACTTACCAAGATAATTGCTTCCTGTTTGGAATGCAGCGGCTATACAGTCTGTAGTACATACTGAAAAAATGACATAAATCCTCTATCAGAATTTAGTTTTAAATTTCAGTACTTGCTTCGTTAATTAGGATTTACTCAATTTTGGTTTTAAGCAAATCATTTGCCATCACTCTGAATTACTGGTGCTGTACAAGTTTTTTTTTCTCTTATATTTGAGCACCCCAGTACAGATATATTGTATAAGCAGCTCTTCAGGTCAAAATAGTCTTATTGTGTGCTATTTACATTTAATTATGAAGCGTTATTTGTTCAATAATTTGGGAATGCACGTTTGCATGCTAGTTGTTAAACAATACTCTGCTCTGGACTCTGAGAGTTGTGAAAAGCAATCAATTCATTGTGCTTCATGACATCACAAGATGGAACAGAGCATTTTGAGCTTTGGAAATGCAGACAGACTAATAGTGTTTTAGTCAGAACCTCACTAATCATGACCAAAACCAGACCTGTCCGAGACCACAGGGTCCCGGACCAGGACAAGACCAAGGCCTCTGAGGGTTGAGACCGAGACAAGACCAAGACTTATAAAGGTTGAAACCAAGATAAGACCGAGACCACGGCCCATCAAGACCAAATCAAGACCAAATCAAGACCATCTTTGTAATTTTCTACATTTATTTGTATTTTACACTTATTTTGGTACATATATATCAATGTTTTTTATAATTCTATCTCCATTTTATCTGTTTAAATGTTCATTTAGGCCTAAAATAAGCCATGCAAATTGTACTGCACTGAAACACTCTGTACCCCTTTTTGAACCCTCACCCACAGTTTTAGAAGCCCTTCTTGAATCCCACTTCACAGAAAACTACTTCATAGTGAATCAAGTGGGATTTTTCAAGTTCATAACATTTACAGTTACATTATCTTACTGGTTTTGCAGTGATATTGAGCAACCTCTGCACATTTACCAGCTGTAATGAAATATGATCATACTTCCAAGACAAGACCGAGACCAAGCGCCTTCAAGACTGAGAGAATACTGAATCCAAATGTGCTTGAGTCCGAGATGAGACCAAGACCGTAGAAAAGTGGTCTGGAGGCCGGTTTTGAGACTAAGACCGGTCTCGAGTCCTACGACACTACAGACTAATAATAAAGGGTTACTCAAGCTTGTGCGAATAAAACAAAACACAGCTCCAGGTCTGTTTTTGAGTAGGTAACAGCGATACAACACGACTGAAAGCTCACCAGAGTCACTTTTATGTAATATAAGACCTTTTACATGTGGGCAAACCTTTCCAGTGTCGTGTCTTCTAGTGGAGGTTAGAGTAGAGCAGGGTTCATCGTCTGCGGACCTTCTTCCAGTCCCGTCTGTCACATCCCATAATGTCACCACGCTGATGGCTCCCCCCTGCCCCGCCCCCGCGCTCATCTGGAGGAAACGCTGCACGTCTCTGTGTGTCTGGCATCGGGAGGGGTGAGGGTGGGGTCAATGGGCCAACTTTGGATAGTTACGTAAAGCCATTTCTGCCGCTATTATGCAATGTGAAATCTGGATTCAATTTTTAACCACCGTGATGGAACAGTAGACTTGTCGTACATGTTAGGTCTATAAATCATGAAGGTGCTGGTGGAGTGCTTTGCTTGGTAACGTCAGGGTTGATGGTTCAAGCCCCCACTCTCTTCCATTAGGGCAGCAGGGTGTACCGCAACTGAATCGAAATTGCAGTTTTAACGGTGCATTATGCAACTTTTCTGGTTCTGGGTGTTCTGGTAGATGTTATTGCTGTGCCTTGAATGTTCCATGGTATGACATTAAACACATCTGGGTTGCCTCTCCACAGATCTGACCTGTAATGTAGCCTATAGTTGTGTCTCTTGAGATAGATGGGTTTAATCTTGCGCAGTGCAGCTTTAATAGTCATAATTAGCAAATGGCAAAGACGGCACTTATTTAGTTAACATAATGTCCTTTGCAAATGACTAAATATTCTATTTTGTTGCATATTAAACTTGCTGTCGATGTAGTTTTGACCTCTACATAATCTGAAATGCATGGTTTTCTCTCACATTTGAATGCTTCTGGACTAACAATATGCACTTTTGGGGGAATTTCTACAAGTATAACTGCGATTGCTACTTCACAATTCCATATTTTCTCAAAACCATTCACCCCGCCTTCCATATATGGTGTTATTGTGTCACTGAGCAATACACTTCACCTGATTTACCTCTGGTCTTAGCATAAGTTGGTGTTTAAATTTGTGTGAATGCTTTCTCGATGTTACGTGACTAGTGTGAAGTTGTTGCAGACTATATAGTGCAGGGGTCATCAAGCTCAGTCCCGTGGGCCGACTCTGGCCCTCCACGCCCTTTTGACCGGCCCCTGAGCCCCTCTGCATCACTTGAACTGGCCCTATGAAGCAATCCTCAAAAGTTGTCATGGCTTATTCTTTTTTAAATTACTTTTTGGCAAATAATAACACATCTGCATCTCGTATTTGGTTGATTTTTATATGATATTTATATGAAGTATTTATGTTTTTATTTAAATAATTATATGACGTTTTTACATTTGTCACAGAATTTTTGTCACCTGACAAGCTCAAGATCAAACAGTGACAGTGAACGCACGTGCAAAGTTCTGTAGTGCAGTTAAAGACAGCAAAATGACTTGTCTTAAAGTATGAAAACAGACAGAGAGTGCCGATGTTTCAAAAAACAGTGGACGAATGATTATTTCTTTGTTCAGTGTAAGGAGTGTGCAGTTTGTCTGCTTTTCAAAGGTTTTCAAAGAATATAATCTGCGTCGTCAGGGTCATACAATTCTGTTTTAAGGCCGACCCGACCCCGACCCCCATCACAGTCAGGAGCGAAAATGTGGCCTCCAGAGAAAAAAGTTTGGTGACCCCTGATATAATGCTATTCACATTAGTTCTATTAAAGGTGCACTATTTTACTTTTCTGATGGACGGTCCTCCGTGTCTTTGTTGAAATGTGGAGAATGTTCCACAATATAGCATTACATATATGTACTCTCACATGTTTAACACACACATCCTGCATATTTAGGCTGAACCTGAAACACGTGTGAATGAAACAAAACACAACTCCAGGTCTGTTTTTGATGAGGTAACAACATTATATCATGTCTTAAAGCTCACATTTTTAAGGAATATAGGACCTTTAATTTATTTTTAGCACTATCCACATGGTTTGTAGTTCATTTGCGCAAAGCTCCACACAGCACCTCTGACACACAGCCCACTTGATCCACTGCACTTCATTGGGAACACTCCGCTCGTCTTCAGATCTCTTACAGTCAAGTCTTCTACTATCAAGAGCTTATGTGCATACCTCTTCGCCTTACAGTTTTCTAAATGAATTACGTTGTTACATTTATCTCTCCCCTATTACTTCTCCATTTCTTCTCCAGTATTTTCATTACTCTTCCTAAAGTATCCATCTCTAGTATCTTGATGTTAATAAACAAAGAATATTATGGCAATCCATCAGAAAGGTGCTACAAATCCTCAGTAAAAGTATCTAGTTTGGAGCAGAGTTATGACTTTAGAGGAAGAACTTTGACTATTATTTAAAATGGCTATGATTAATATCTGTCTTTTGTTTATCTTCAGGAAATTTAAGCAAACAGATTTTTTTAGTTTTTTTGTCATGTTGCCCAGTCCACACTCTCTCTTTCTCCTCTTGTGAAACTGTGAATTATTGCAACTAGTGAACAGCCAGCGATAACTGCAGAAGTTGTCACTGGCTACACTTCTCTGTGGTGTCATGTGACCCATGTCATGCACTGTTGGGAAGGTTACTTTTAAAATGTATTCCCCTACAGATTACAGTTTACATATCCCAAAATGTAGTTTGTAACCTAATCCATTAAATTACTTAACCTCTTAGAATTCCAGGCCATTTTTGTGAAATCACTCTTGTTCTGACCTCTCCAAACTAAAATGATTGCCATGAGTGAACCCTCAGTTGCATATACACAAGTTTGGGTTTTTTTGTAAGGTAACACCCAATAGTTTCACCCACAGGTGTAAGAATCACTCTAAGTATGTCTGGTAGGTATTTATACACTTTGGCACACACCTAAAAAATTATTTTTCTCATCCTCGCCCAAATTTTTTTGTTAAAATTAAGGTGTAGAAAGCTGCAGTAGGTAGCTGGGGACTGAAAACACTCTATATTTCTATTGAAAACCATGTTGACCTCTTACATTTCAAATTTGATGAGAATATCTATAAAAATGAGGATTTTAGACTACTTTTATTGCTAGTATATTTAGGCGTTTTCCAGAGGGACTTTTGCTTTATCCAAATTTATCCAAACCTATCCAAACCTATCCAAATGGAGACATTTGGAGAACGTTTGGAAAAAATGCAATAACTTTTGAATGCTTCAACCCACAGACATCAATGAGGGCTCTACTGAAAGCTCACACTTAGAGGAATCTTTATCTACACACCAAGCTGCTCTATTCCTTATGAAAATATATATAGCATATCAAAACACAATATAAAATGTATATTTATATATAAAATATAGTCAAAACAAGTGTTATGGGTCAAAATAAATGTATATTTACAAATGTATAACAATGCAAACTGTAAACAAACACATTTCAAACTGTAAACAAACACACTTCAAACCGTAAACAAACACAATTCAAACTGTAAACACACACACACACTGCAAACTGTAAAAAACACTTTTCTATTGTCCTTGTTCTTTGTGCCAGTCATTATAACAGTCCCTTTGTGGCTGGAAACACAGGGGCACGTCACAGGTTGAACATTTTACAGCCGTTTTCGCATGGCACTTCCTGCATTTCAGTCTTCCTTGGGTCTTGTCACCACTTGCGACGATGTGCACAAGACGATGATGTGTCTCTTTCCTACTCTCCTCCTCCCGCTCTGTACTGATGGCTCCTGCCTCTGCCAGCTCCAATACAAGGGTTTCTCTAAATGCCTTTTGGTGCATTGGGATTTTAGCCTTTAACGTGCACTGTCCTTTATAAAGGATAAAGGCATTCACCACAGCAATGTCCACAAAATGATAAAAAAAAAAGTCTTGTACCATTTTTTGGTTTTGTGTAAAACCTCATAATATCCGATCAATGCATCGGATAGGTCAACGCCTCCCATGTGCCTAAGGAAAAACACAAATACGTTAGCAACAAGCAAGTACAAAACTGAGAGGGGATGAAGCAATATTATATCATATACATACCTGTTATAGTCCTTGATGGCTGGTGGAACTGGCACATCTTTCATAGTCCAACAGCCTGTGTCATCCTTTACCCGGCGCTCCACTGTCTCCTCTCCATGGGCAGTGTGCATGGTGGAGCAGATGAATACATCACGGGTGTCTTTCCATTGGACAAAGAGCAAGGGGTCCTCACGAATCCACCTTATACTGCCACGGGGAGCTCTGGAGTCCAGCGTATTTTCTGTTGTCCTGGGGTATCCTTGTCTATTAGTTCTTATTGTGCCACAGGCTGACACTTTTTTTTTCAGAAGGTCACGGAATAGAATAGGGCTAGTGTAAAAATTGTCTACATAGAGTTTATAGCCTGTGCCCAGTAGAGATGTGTCCAAAAGGGTCATAACAGAGTCATAGCTCAGCCCGTTCTTGCTGGCCTGAGAGCTTTTGCCCTCATAAACAAAGAAGTCCCATGTGTAGCCTGATTTTGAGTCTGCCAAAACAAATAACTTGTAGCCCCACCTTACAGGTTTGCTTTTTAAGTATTGTTTGAAGCTCACTCTTGCCTTTGATGCCACCATCCTTTCATCAATGGCGATATGCTGACCAGGTTGGTAATTCTGGCGGCATGCATCTCTTATCTCAGTATACAGTGGTTTGATCTTGCCCAAGCGGTCAAACTCTTCAGTGCCTCTTTTTCCTTCATTTTTGGCATCTTCTTCTGGACTACTCAAGTGGAGAGCACGGATAATAGAAAAGAATTTCTTTCCGGTCATAACTGATTTAGGGAATGGTAGGCTGTACAACTTTCCTCTTCTCCAGTAATCAGTAAGTGAAGGTACTTTTGCGAATCCCATGTATATAACAAGTGCCAAAAAAGAGAAAATGTCTTGAAGCGCAATGTCCGTCCATGCTCTGTATGCTGATTGGCCATGCATATTTGTGTTTCTGATAAGTGTCGATAACACACAGTACCAGTAAAAAACAGCTGGAACAGTTCCAGACATGTGTAGTCAGATGTGCTAATGAGTTGAGGTCCAGGAGTACGTGTAGGACAAAAGGGAAGGGGGGTAGGTGTGAAATCCGCCACTTCTGTATTGTTCCAACGTCCTGTGGAAGGTGAAGATGGTCTTGCACCTCTGCCTCTGCCTCTGCCCCTCCTCCGTCCTCTGCCTCTTTTTGCTGTTTTCTCAACCCGGGGAATCTTTGAGGAAGGGCCCGGCTCTGGTTCGGCTGCAGGCACTGAAGTCAGTCTAAAATGAAAACAACAAAAACATATTATAATACTATAAATGATTTGTAAACAGTAAATGCTACTATACAGATTGCTCTACAGACTATTATTCTACTACTGTATAATATTCAACCACTACTTACACTTGCCTCCCTCCCCCACAAACATTCACACCATATTTACACCTTGCAACTAACTTCATTCCAACATTGTATACACCTAAAATAGTCTCATACTGTAACAAATGCACTCAAAATACATTGCATTTATTGATCAAATAAAGTAACTTACTCAGGGTCATCAATTTCCACATGCACCTCAGCCAAAACTTCAGTGTCTGGTTCCCAATCAGGGTCAGAGTCATTTTGCCTGTAAAAGAAAGAATAGTGTTTATTTGCCACTATGTATGCCATATTATAAGATGCTGCAACTTATTGTTTCACCATTTATTATGTGTATACTTGTTTTACTCTGGGCCTACATGCCCTTATCTACAGTAATTAGAGATTAGAAGTCTGATCCAAAAAACTAACTAAAAGTGCGCCTCCCCAGTGTGCACGGTGTACATAAATGCTGTTTAGGTATCTGATATTTTATTACATTTTACAATATTTTACATTTATATTTATAGCGGGAAAATAAATACACTTACCGATCCAAAATGGCATCCAATCCCTCAAAAAACATTTCTTCTTCCACTGAGTCCACCGCGGACACATCGCTCTCCGGTTCCGACAGCTCCTGGTCCGAGGTGTCACTCAGCCTTCTCGTACATATTTCCGCAGCTTCCAAGGCTGAAAACCGCGTCTTCTCTGTTCGTTTAGCCATAACTTTGAAACAAAGGCAGAGCACCAACACGCACGGAGTATGTACTGTACTATACTGTACTATACTGTACTGATGTACTGTGTACAGTAAACACCTCAAACTGTATATATAAACTCTTTTTTTAACTGCCCATTGGCTATTAGGTAAAGCGTCACTAGTGCGTAACGCGTAACCATTGGCTGCGTAAAAGACGCACGCTTTACGCTTTACGCACACAGTCTGTTTGCGTTTGTGCCGGCGGTTACGCATCATCCAAGCGGCGCAGGTATACAGAAAACCATGGCTTGTGATATGTCATTGTGTTCATTGGCTCGTTGACTGTAAGGGAAAATATCACTCCGCGCCTGTAATCAAGTTTGGGTGATTGTGCACGAGGGGAAGTGGGGAGTAAACTTTCTGAGTTCTGTACCACTGATTGGCGATGTGGGGCTTTAGTAACCGAAAACTTGCACTCTATTGGCTGACCAAAGTGCCAATTAAATGCTAACTCTTTCGTTTAGCATAGACAGTAGCGTTATTGTGCTCAGTAAATATCTTAGCCCTGAAATCGCCAGAAGAAATGCAAAAAAAAGTGACGGCTCACTTTTCACGTTTGGAATACTTTGGAATACTTTCCGGCATAGAGGAACTAATTCATTTTGTGGACATATTTTCTTCACTGGATTATATTCTCTGGACCTGTACGGACCAAATGAGACCAACTTTCTGGGGATATGTGGATGTTTGACAGAATGAGAGCCCTCAAAAGGTAAGAACAGTCCAAATCCTTTGCACGTGCTTTTCTGTAAAACGGCTGTCTTGTCAGTGCTGTTGTGTGGTTACTGTGGAAAATGATTTGGATATTCAAAAAGACGATACTCGTAGCTTTAATTTGATGTGTATATTGTTAGTGTGGACGACGGAGATTCATATGCAAATTGCTGTAGCGTTGTAAATTAAGGGCGACGGCCCGCCGGCGGGCCGTCAGATCCTTATCAGGTTAAGTGAGTAAAATAATCTGAATACTTTGGATTACTTAACATTGTCATGCTTTTTAAAACTACATGAATGTGCCAACCACATCCTGAAAATTCTGATTTGTTGTCTTCTAATTGGCTGAGCCCAAGTCTCCATGAATAAGCAACTGTTTGCTGTAAAGAAGCAAAAACTAGGATATGTTAACATAAGATGTTTTGTCTGCTAAAAGACAATAAAAAGTCCAGACTTTCCTTAACCAAATTAAAAATATTATTGACAGAGAAATGATTTTTCTATGAGATCACTGCTGCCTTAAAGTATGTCCACCCTATTGTAAGGTCTCATCCCATTTAGACCTGGTTTAGTCCTGGTTTAATGGTTTTTGTCTTGGTTTAGTCCTGGTATTAGTCCTGATTTAGTCCTGGTTTTAATCTTGGTTTAATCCTGGTTTAGTTCTGGTTTAGTCCTGGTTTTAGTCCTGGTTTAGCCCAAAATGTGAAAACAGGAAAATACCACCCTGTAATCCATTTATTTCAACAAAGTAACTGTAATCCAATCACCATTCATTGAAACAGTAACTGTAACTGAATATAGTTACTCATAATTTGTACTCTGATGACGTAATGCCGGTACATGTAATCTGTTACTCCGCAACACTGATGTCATGTGACCGTGTTTTTACCTTCTTTGGCAATTTTTTCCATGAAACTTGGCACACACTCGTAAGATTAGGACGACACCCTCCAAATCTGAGATCAGTCGGATGAGTGGTTTGAGAGATACGCGTGGAACAGACAAACAGGAGGAGACACACTCAGACGCTCCTTGCATTAATAGATAGATACATGTTATAATACTGTTCTCTCATCAAAAACATGTCTGAAGAGGTTTTAGATGTCATCCATTCATGTTTCAGTAATTTAGCGATCTTTCTATTGGAACCCTCCTTACGGTTAGATGTAAGATTCTGTGCAATTCTCCGGCCACAAGCCTACATCACCCATGCTCCCACACGACAAATCTCCATAAATATACAAAAGTGTAACTCAGAACTGTACACAAGAACTTGACAAACCAAGTGTGCAGTGCCATGATGTGCGCTGACTGTGTTGTGATAGCGCTCTGAAGGGGGAGTAACTTAGCGTGAGAGCAAAGACTAAACAAAACTGCCAAAAACAAAGAGAATATAGCGTTTCCAAAAAAATAAATGGTAACATGGTGATCTAAATATGCTCGCAGTTAATACGCCATAGAAGTAAAGTACCCCTCTTTAAATACTTTTAATTACAGACAATACACTCACTCAATATTATAATGTGCACATCTCTAAAACTTTACTATGAATTTCCTGCTGCACCTTCCACCTCTCCTCACTAGAATTGCGTGGCATCTTTTTGCACTGTTACTAGGATTACTGATAACTGCTAATACAGGAAGTGCTCCACTGTGTTTTTAAACTCCAAACTCCACCTTCACTAGAATTATTCGGATGATTTCAGCTCTGGAATTGCCAGTCTCTACCGAACAAAATTAAAAGGTAGCTGTTGACTTGAGAACTAACACTACATGAGGAACAGAACATTTTGAGCTTTGGAGATGTAGACAGACTAATAATAAAGTGTTACTCAAACATGTGTGAATGAAACAAACACAACTCTAGGTACATTTTTGAAGAGGTAACAACATTAAAAATCATCCAGCAGTACCATTATTTGGAGATCACATTGCAATTCTGTTTATTTTTATGTACTTACCGTATTTTTGGACTATATGGCGCATTTAAAATCCTTTAATTTTCTCAAAAATCGACAGTGCGCCTTATGTATTAACTTTGGTTGTGTTTATTGACCTCAAACCGATTTTATGTGGTACACGGCACTCAAAAACCTGTCAAAATGTTTTAGTACGACTTTGGTAAGATACAAAGCCACACCACTTGATGGATTGTTTGAATATTACGGCTACTGTAGTCAGGAGCGTCGCGCATTAAAGGACTAAGTATAGTTCTGTGTCGACTCCTCGCACATAGCCGCCATCGCCTTGTCGCTGTTGTTTTTGATTTATGGATCTGCGTCAAGGTCTATGCGCTGCAAAGTAATTCACCGCCACATCACTAGGAGGCTAGGATTTAAACCTGCCATTGGTGTATACTAGGGGTCGGCAAGCTTAAATACACAAACAGCCATTTTGACCGACTAACCACAGAAAAGAAAGCACCCGGAGCCACAAAACACTACATATCATTTTATTTTTTACATGTATGCTCTGTATAAAAGACTATATTGTGTTGAGAATATATGTCCATTCATAGATATGGTCTATGCGTATGACCTGCACACTTATAATTTCTGAAAAGTTTTACGTCGATCTCTAACGTGACACATGCACAGAACAGACTCACCATCATCAGCGCATCCTCTGTCACAACAAGAACACACATATTCCATCGAATTGTGTCCTTAAAGCTGACAGAAGGTGACTACATCAACGCAAAAGGAGCGAGCTGTTTTTTTCAGTGCTTATAGTTTATGCAAATGAGCCATGTGGTTTTAAGTTTTGTTTCTGTAAAACATAAACAAATGTGTGCAAAGCTGTATTAAACACATTATTACTCAATGTATATTTGAGTCCTCCTTGTAGGACAATAGACACATCAAGAATCTGGTGCCTTTTGCTTTGGCGTTGACTTTTTAAATTCGTAACCAAGACTGCGTGAGGGATCGGGGTTTTGCTTTGATGGCGCTACACATACAAAATGTTCGCTGCAAACTCGGGATGATTTAGGCAGTGAAAGGTTTCCGTTTTCGTCCTTCCCGTGGATCAATCCTGCCCATCGCCTTCGCATTTCATTATTTTTCAATTCCGTTGGGAAGGGAAACAGTTTGAACAGAGGTTTGCAGTCACACAGATCTGATTCCCTTTTGCATCTATGGAGTTCGC